TCACTCTTCTACTTTTTACACTAGCATCCCTGATGGCTTCTAGGAACTTCCCACTCACCACTGTCTCACTCCCTCGCTTGCTTTTATAGATCTGCAAGGCACTGCTTTATTCCTTAGCCAGCCCAGGTGGAGTGGGGCTTATTCCTGTGGCCACAGTTCACCACCACCACCTGACCTTCCATTTGGTGGGTGATGGCCTGTCTTACCAGAATGTAAGCCTCTTTTGGATGGACTCCCTCTGATTTATTCCCTGCTTTCTCTGTAGTCAGCTTCATGAAGCCATTCTTAATAAACACACGTGTTTAATGAAGGTGGTGGAACACCGGGCCGGAATTTAGGTATCAAAAGTGCACTCAGGGTGACAGGACAGGGTTGAGCTGGAGGCTCACAGCACAGGGCTTCAGTTGGGTCAGCAAGTAAGAAGGGGTCAGTCTTGCGTGTGTCACAGGCTGTTCACAGTCTCGGGTTTCTCCTTGTGTAAATGGGCTAAAGGGCATCCTGGACTGCATGGCCTTCCCAAGCCTGGTCCCAGACTGCAGCTCTCACCCTCCTTCACGAGCAGCCTTCCGGCTGCTGGGCTCAGCTGTGTGTTCTCTAGCACACCCCTTGCGCATCACAGCCAGAAGATGGGAAATGCACATTTGATAAATATAAAGGTCAGAACTTCAGCAGACGACAACTATGTTTTTAGGATGCATACTAAAAAGATAAGAAAAAGCTAAGTTATTCTGTGTTTACACAATGTCCCGAACCTAAGAAGCTGTAAAAAGTCTGTGGCTCTAGGAAACATCTGAGGGAAGGAAGCGACACCCCGACAACGTGTGAGACTGCGCTGGAGATTCCAAGATCAGGAAGCATGCTACCATCACTTCCTGCATACATAAACACACGCTTCCGGGGTGCATGGAATTAATATCACAACACGCTAGCAACGGACTACAGGGGAGAACAGAGTAACACTCTACATGGAGACCTTGACCTATAATTGTGTTCCACTTCAAATCACAGGAGACTGAAGTCCACTCTGTCCCACGCACCACTCCACTGCCCACAGAAACCTTCACGTCTAACCCAGGACAGGCTAGGCCTCTTTTGCGTAACATTCACATTTATTGACCCATAACTGAGATGGATAAATCACTCTCATATCTGCAGTCTGTGTAGATTCTTGACTTCCTGTCCTAAGAGGACTCTCAAGTATGCAAACGTTATAGCGGTGAAGATAACTAGATTTGTGTCTTTGTCTATATTAAAATGTCAGAGATTTGGATGGGGGAGCCTTTATTAGCTACAATACAAATTGTTCTTCTTGTTTCTGAGACAACATTTCTTTAAAAAGAAAAAAGAAGACTTTCTAAATTGAAAGATGTTTCATAAAAACATTCTAAAAACACAAATTAGGGACAAAACAACAATAATCAATTGATGACTGTCAAGTTCCCACGTGGATACATTCACTAAGTAGGCACGACGGTGAGGTGACTGTCCTTAAGCAACCCGTAACAGAAGCAGTTCCTGAAAAAGAGGAAAATGAAATACATTTGTAAACATCAACAACGCAACAATGATAAGATCTGTGCCAAATAGTGAATTGTGGGCATCAGAAGCACACAGGCAGGCAGATATTCAGGACACACAGGACATATATAAGAAGCAGTGTGGCAGAGAATGGCTTTAGTGAGGGCAGAAAACATTTGTGGCTGTGAAGACCATGGAAGGACACGCAGCATGGTGCCAACCAAGCTTGGTGCACTGTGGCATTCGGGGCTGAATTCAGAATGGTAAAGCCTGTGTCACACAACTGTTGGACTAAACACTGATATTCCCATGGTTCCACCCTGGCACCATCCTTTCATCCTGGTTAAATAAGAGTCTTGAACTATTGGGTGTTCAAATACCCTTTTAATTAACTAACACCAGACTACTTATTTTCATGTATTCTCCACAGAAAAACTGCTAGTTCAAAAGCCAGGTGACACTTAGGAGAACCAGCCCGAGTGCAGCAGCACCAGTGTAGGACCCGTGTCCACCCGCACACGCCTATGCTAGGGGACAACGCAGCATCACTCACAGCTTGCTGAGCCTTAGCACCTGTCCTGTCTTTCTAAAGCATCTTGTTCCATGTGTCTCCTGGCAACCCCATATTCCAGCAATAGCTCATAAATTCCCAAACACACAAGTAAGTCCATGCAGTCAACACCTACACTGCTTCACACCTTTGCCAGCCTGTCTGCTCTAGTGTTTCTCTCATCTCCACCTACTTGTGTGACGGTGTCTTTCCTAACCCATTTCAGCTCCAACCGCTAGCCCCTTCACAGACCTAGTTACACTGCTTCCACCCTGGATCACCTCTGCTGCCATTGAGTCTTGTATTCCAACACACAGCAAGCATACTGGGGATGCCTGCATACCTTGCCACCACTGCATGGAAGAATCAGATGCAAACTGTTTTTCTAAGCATTAATATATAGAACTCAAACACTTTTATTATGGCAGGTCTCACGACCTTTAAACCGAGATAGTTTCTTGGATAACTTTTAAAGGCTTCACATTTATAAAATGTAAAGTTCTTAAGCCTGACTGGGAGCTCACTGAGGGGTGAAGAACAGCCCATACAAGGAAGCTCAAAATTGATCCTGGATCGAGTGTTGTCAACTGGTAATCTCTTTACAAAAATAGGCTCTTTTGGCTGCAGATGAGAGAAGGAGGTCCTTGGGAAGCTGGCAGGATTCAGAGAAGACAGGAAGATGGGAAAAGACACTATGAAGGCTGTTTTCTCCAAGAGGTCCAGGGCTCCAGGAGAGAGGCCCTTTACTAGCATGGTGTGTACCTCTGTGTAATTTTGAGCTAAACTGAGAACTAGAGTCTCTGCAATGCAATTATTTCCATGACATTCCTCCACCCCCACCCCTGGGGGACCTCAGCTAGCCTGGTTCTCTATATGCTGAGTGATTAAACCCATTCTCTGTCTTAGGTTGTGTGATGAGTCAGAGACAAGGTGGGGATGTCAGGGCACCTGGGTTCTCTGCACTCGTTGGGGCTCTAGGAGCTCTGCACTGAGTTCTGGATGGAGTTTAGTGCCTGGAGTGTGGTCTCAGTAGGCATAGAAGGAAGCTGAAAGGAGATTCTGCATAGGATGACATCCCTCAAGATCACCCTGCCAAGATCATCTCTGGCTCCCTCTTGCCATCTAACATAGTTGGGGTTTCCTTCTAGGGTCATCTTTTCTTATGTAGATGTACACAGCGCCAGGTGAGAGCAAAGCCCTTTAACCTTGCTTTGGGCATGTTTCTATCTGCACAGCCACACGAAGGCAGGCAGTTATCTCAGTCATGCTCATTTCACAGGCGGGGACCCTACAGTTGACAGGAGCTGAGCTATTTCACCCAAGGGTGATGAGTGCTCCCACACCAGTCCTGTGACTGGTGTATTCTTTCATCTGACCCTAAGCTCCTATTGGTAAGTTCTTCTCTCTAACCACCCTGCCTGGGTTTTGCATCCCTCTTCCAGCATGTATAAAGCACCTTACATGTACCTGCAGCCAGGCTGGTTGGTACTTTGCTTGCTGTTTTCCACAGCAGGGTGTGGTTCCCACAAAGCAGGAACTGCCTTCATCTCCGTATCTTTTCTCCCTGTAGCCAGACAGATGCTCTGAAGTTATTTACTCTATGTGAATACTAAATATGATTTGACTTGGAATACCTGGAGTACATGGCATTCAGACCTAAAGAAAAATTAATCTATGCAGGAACGTGGGGCAGAGATAAGATAATCACGATGTCTGGATGATGCCCCGCGGGACTTAAGGTAGCGTACAGCTCCTCATTGTAAGACATCTTCACCATGATGACACCAGTGTCACATGGAGACTGGAAAAAGGAGTGTTTTGAAACTCAAAGGGTCTAGATCAGAGTGGCTATATTCAAATCTAGCTTCCACCAGTTACAAGGACCTGCAGCTGACATAATGACCTCATCGCCCGAAGTTTCAGTTGTTCCCTTTATAAAACACAGTTGACAACGCTTATGGTAATTAGAATTCAATGAAACCGTCTAAATGAAGGCACATGCTTGGCAACCGACACAGCTTTGCAACCAGTATGTGATGACATCCAGACTGAAAAGAAGTAACAGCCACAAAGCCAGTTCTTCAGAGGGCAGAGGATGACGGTCTAATTAACAGCAGAGGGGACAAGGGCTGAGTTCAGAGGAGGATGGCCTAACCAAAAGCAGAGAAGACAAGTTCAGAGGGCAGAGGAAGACGGCATAGTTAGCAGCAGAGGGAACATGGCTGAGTCCTAAGGTTGGGGTTGGTTCCCATGTGTAAAAGAGCAGGGAATACTGATTCACCAACACAGGTAGATTTCAAATTACTTTAATGTAGAGTCCTGAATCTTTTAAGCCACGATATTCCCACTACCTAATTTCTAACTAGCACAGAACTCTGTGTCATCACGTAAGCAAACAGATGAACTCCAAGGAAGAGACAGGCCAGGAACAGAAGACACGAGAGCAACATAATGTAGGGCAACAGGAGGAAATCGGGTTTGGGGAAATGGTGGCCAGGCAATGAAATGCCCTGTAGTTGCAATGTTTAACCCTATCAGCCAGACTGCACTGAGGACTGCCTAGGAGGAGAGTAAAGCCTACCCTAGGTGAGTCTTTAGGAGCTATTAGTTCAGGGCGGCTCTGAGGAATCAATAGTTTATCCACCGAGAGACTCGAGCTGAGAGTGGACTACTGAGGAAGTGATGGGATGGAGGAAGGTGAGCCTGTTCAGAGGAGGTGGGTCCCTGGGTGTGTGTTCACCCAGGGACTGTGTCTGCTCCTTCCTATTCCTGCTCCACTCTGAACCTTGTGACAGGAGCTGCTCTGCAATGACGGATGGCAGCTTCTGTGACCAGGAGCTCCCCTTAAGCCACAGGTCACAATGCAGCAGTCACAACAGCCACATAAGAGCACTCCTACTCTAGGGTGCGCCCAGTCTCTGGAGTCATCCCTTTCACAGTATGATGAGGCCATGGACTCTGCAAAAATGAAATACAAATACCATTCTATGATCCTGGCTATTAGAATTGAAGACCACCCTCTGTCTATGCACAGTCCTGATTTAAGAAGCCTACGTGAGACCTGACTTATTCTTCACTCAGGACGGGGTCTGAGCCACTGAGTGTAAGTACTCTTCAGAGGCTGGTGGAAGGGCCTGGTATTCCTGGAACCTGTACAATGGACCACAACATGGCCAACGTCTTGACTGGAGTCCGGTGTCACAGTTTTGACACACAGAATTATATAATAACAAACTATTTACTATGTAGAACATGGAAAAGAAAAGTCCATATTTATCATTTGATAGGGCAATCACTAAACAAGAACAAAAATATTATTTTAGAAGAAAACAACTTAAGAACTCTGATACTAAGATATGTCACTCTCCCCCCTTTTTCAGGAAAACAAGCAAAAATCAAGCAAACGACAAACTCAATGAACTTCACAATTTTCCTCTATTAGAAGAGATCTGATTTCTTTCTCTGGGCAATTTAAGTGTTTCAGTTAATTCTGACTATGAAGAAAAGTTTGTATGTTTCACCTTTATATTACATACATGAATTCAATCCTGACCACTGAACTTCAGGTGACTGCTTCACTGTCAGGATAAACAATGCCTACAGTATCACTTACTGAAAGTTATAGAACTATAAATACGACAATGTGCCTTCCTCTCCTTGGCACTATCGGGAAGAGACACTCAGATGTGCACAGCTGAGAGGCAGCGCTCAAATATAAACACTCGAAAAGATCCAACCAGGATGGTGGAACACACATGCAATGAGTTCCAGGGGCAGCCAGGGTCACAGAGTAACAGTGAATCTCAAAGCAAAACAAACAAGCCAACTACCGAAACCCACAGTAACATCCCAAATATTGCACCCCAAAAGAGAAGTCTCAGAAAGATCATGTGGGCCAGGACCAGTGTGGTGGTGGCTGTCTACAAAATGAAATCTAATTAATGATTCCTTCCCACTTTTACAGATATTTGCTTTACAGACCTCCAGGTTTAAGAATAAAAGGAAGGAAGGAAGGAAGGAAGGAAGGAAGGAAGGAAGGAAGGAAG